CTCTGTAAAATGAGTATAACAGGATTATGCTGAGATTATGGACACAAGTGCCTGTGCCTGGCACATGGTGGGCTCCTTTGGTTGTCAGTCCCTGTCACCTGGTTTTCTTATTTATAAGGCTACTCCAGGGAAGACCAGATGACCCTCACTGAACCGACTTCTCCCACCTAATGCACACACACACTTGACAGATCCTCACTACAAACACATGGAAGGGCATGGTGTGCCCAGCGCCACACAGTAGTAGGACTGGGCTTAGGGGTGCCTGGGTGTTGTCCTTCACCAGTGCAGGACCAACCTGTTGGGCAGAGGGTGTGGGAGGCGGTCCTTGTCATCACACTGCTCTCCCACCTCAGTTTGCTGGAGATCTGATTCCTGGGGTGGGGGTGAAGTCTCTGGGGATGAAGAGAGCAGTGTGAACACAGGACCAGGAACTCAAGGACTGTGTCACCGAGTATGGCCACCAGTGCTATTAGAAAGTCCTTCTCTAGGGTGCTCTGTCCTCTGGGAAGCCCTTGGTGGTGACAATGAGCATTCCCAGGGCCCTTGTCCTCAGGCTGTGTTCCTGTCTGAACCTGGTCCTGCCTCTTCAAGATGTCTCACACTGGGAGCCCATCAGCCATCCTCCAATGTACCCCACTCCCTCCTCATCAGGTGTCCCACCAATGTCCTGCCCTTCTCCTCCACAGGCCTCCCCAGTCCTCTCTCCTGCCCCCTGCCCAGTCTCTTACCTGCTGGCCAACTCTTCCAGCCCCAGAGTCCCTGGCCTGCTTCATTAGTGAGCTGATGGCACTGGGGCTGGGAGCTTGGGCCTGAGGTGAGAGGTAGGAAAGCAAACGTTTCCAGGACCCACGGGTGCATATGTTCCCCAAGGCACCCCGAGGCCTGTCCACAGAGGGCAGTGGGGACTTGACCACCTGCTGCTATAGGAGACTGTGAGACACGCAAAGTCCCTGTGGAGGATACTGTCACTTCCCTTCACCCCTGCCCACACTGGGGTCTGACTCACCGTCAGACTCAACAATGGAAAAGACTTAGATCTCAGGTGTTTGAATATGGGAAGTGAGCAGGGCCAATTGCCACCTCCTGAGCCATGAACTGGGCTGCTTGCTTCTCATGGGGTTGCTGTCAAGGCTGGGTCATTGGCAGCAGACTGAAGGGGTGCTGTCCCTGCCATGGCCCTGCCCCTAGCCCCTAGCTCTGGCCCAAGGCCATGGGAGAAACGAGCTCACCCCTGGGCCTCCCTCCTCCAAGGCTATTGCATCTCACCCACCAGAAACAGACCTCCAGATGGTACTACAGGGTCCTGGACTCAGGACTTTTCTTTGTAACTTAGAGACAACAGTGCAACAATATCAGAAACAAGAACATCTGACAGACTAGTACACACTTAAACACACACAGAACACAGACATCATTCAGGCTGGTATCTGAACGTGCAAAGCTCCACCACCTGGAAAACAGACTGCAAATAAATATAAAGTGCATGGAGACCCTGCTGTGCAGCACGGGCCCGTGGGGAAAGCGGTGACAAGAAGAGTGTAGGAAGGCTGAAGCTTGCTAACTACTTTGCCCAACAGAGGCAGGAACCTGATGTTTAGAGGACCAAGAGCTTCTGGTCAAGACAGCCATGGCCAAAGCCAAGGTGAGCACAGTGCCACTCTGAACTGGGTTAGGATCTTCATGCAGTGGGGTGCCCTGGGGTGTGGCTCCTGAGGCTGCACCCCCTTCCTTCCTGTAGGGGAACAGCATCCTTGGCCCTAAGCAAACCCTTGGCAGGAGGAAGGCTGGGGCACCCTGACAGCTCCTTTCCCCCACTCTCACACTAAGCGCATGCACACTCGGGGGAAAGCCGTCCTCCCCATTCCAGGCTGGCCCACAAACGGCTGTAACAGATGGCTCTGTCCCTCAGGTGAGGCAGGGCTCTGAAGGGGCCACATCAATGTAGCAGCCCCAAGCCGGCCCTGGCTCTTCCTCTCCCTTCCAGCCCTCTGACACCTCTGTCCCTCGGGGACTGCCCCCAGACAGCTGTGCTGAGAGGCTCCCAGAGGTGACCCTTGGTGGGCAGGGCAGGCATGGGTGAGAGGGACGAGAAGGACTGGAAAAGGAAGGATGTCATCAGGTTGTGGCTATGGGCAACTGCACGGGGTCATGTGGCAGCCAGCCACCAGCCAGCTTCTACCCACTCTTGACGCAGACAGAGAAATTCACGCAGGACCCCAGCTCTGGGCACAGGGCTTGATCCCTGGATGACTCTGTCCCTAGAGTTGAGCAGAGCGCTGCAGTTTTCCATCCCAGGAACTCAGAACAAGGGCTTCAAGCCACCAACCCAGGTCGGCTGGTGAAGGCCAGGGTCTCTTCTCACTTGGCTTGCATTTGGGCCGCACGTGACCCTTCAGGGATGCCACTGCACAGCACACCTTGCACCTCCAGGACCCATCAAGGCCCATCTGGATGAGGCTCTCCTGTGTGGTCTCGGGAATGTGGAGCTGAGGGACAGGGACAGAGAGACAGAGTCATGCCATGGGTCCCAATCCCATCACACCCCACCCTTGATCAAGTTCACCCTTGATCCTCCCCATTATATCATGTCCCAGGAAGCATGCCACCACTACTGTTCCTGCTGACCGGCTTGTGCTATAAAACTGCGGAAAAGTCTCTGGTCAAGGCTAGGGTGTGAAGCTTAGGTTTTCTGGTGGCACTTGGCTCCCCAGCAGCTCTGAGACCCATGTCTCCTGCCCTCCCCGAGCCCCCGTCCATCTCAGTACACCGTCCTTCTAGCCTTGCCTGTGACTGTCCATACCAATCCCAGGAAAGGCAGATCCCTGGACTTCCTACCCCTGGTCCTGGGTCCCCTGGGAGCCCAGTATTCCCCTCCCAATCGCACAGTGCCAGAGCTTGGAGAACTGAGGAGGAAGGCGGGGGACAGAAGACACAGAAACAGCCTCAGCTCCATCTCTTTGTACTGTGACAAGAACAAACCCCACGCCATCCCAGAGCCTGATTCCCCAGTCACTGGGAAGGGAGAACATGACTCCTACAGGGAGTTGCTAGGAGACCTTGGTGCCCAGGGAATGTGCCAATCCTCCCCACGCCAGGACCTGATTCCCAGACCACTCCATCCATCTGGGCCCCTGTCCAGGCTAGGATCTCCACCCAGGAGGTCCTTCCCCTCTTCCAGGACAGACCCGCACTCAGCTGCTCTGAACACAGGGCCAGGCCAGGGACACCCATGAGCAGGGACCTGCCACATGCCAGGGCCGGAGAAGCAGCTGGTCATCACATACAAATGCCAATCCCTGAAAGAGAAAGAGATGGAGACTTTAAAGTTGCCAGGCCACCCAGAGACGGCTTTGTTTGCATGTTGCCTTCTCTGCCACCCCCTTTCTCCAACTGCTCCCCTTGCTGCGCCTGGGAGCTGCTCAAGCAGTTCCTCCCATCTCCCCAAGGCCCTTCAGTACGCAGTGGGCTACTTGGGCATTCAGGGCTGTAGGATGGACCTGTATGGTGCTAGGCAATCTTGTCAGGAGCTGTGGGGAGCAGGGGTTGACACGGCCACCAGGAGAGGGGATAGGGAGAAACCTGCCTCTTCCCTGTCTTCAAGTGCCTTGGTTAGGAGGATGCCCTCAGACAGGGGCAAGGGTTTGCAAAAGGAACCAGCAGAAGCAGGCGGACATCCACCCCAGAACCCAAAGTCGAGGCAGGGGGCAGATTGTGAAGGACTGCAGGTGAGCTGCAGGGAGTGTCAAGGGCATGAGGGCTGAGAAGGGACAGATCTGGTCTTTGGTTCAGAAGAGACCACACTTCTTATCTTATCCCACTCACAAAGTGTGCAGGCAAAGGGCAGGTTCATCTTTCCTCCCCCAAGCCCTCTGCCCGCCCCCAGTCCACTGCCCTCCTTGTTGGGGGTTAAGTGACAGGATTGGTTCCCTGGGACATGCTATGGGCAGCAGGGGGGGGCCCTATCTGTCTGCTGGTGACCAAGATGCTGAGGTCACCGCCTCCCCTCACTCTCAATGGACTCTTAACAGGGAGCAGAGGAGAACCGGGGCTGCCTCCCCCCCCCCCCCCCAGTTCATCTGGGAAGCTGAGCAGGCTGGTTTTCCCAGGCCGTTCCCCCAACTCTAACTCTAGCTGTTGGCATAACTGCTCGCTCCCCTAGCCCAATGTAGCCCTGGCGGCCTCCTTATTAATCCAGCCTGTGGCCTCCCACCACCACCCAGGCTGCCCCCACCCAAGCTATGGCCTCCTATCACCTCTCCCCAGCACTGTGATCCCAAACTGTCAGCTCCTTCCACTGCTTATCCTCCCAACCCCCCAAACCTGCAGCCTCCAGCTGCCCCAACTCCAATCTGTCCCCTCGCACCCCCCCCCCAACCTGAGGCTTCCAACTGCCCCCCAGCTACAATCTGTCCCCTCGAACTGCCCCAACTTCAGGCCTCCAGCTGCCCCGACTCTAATCTGTCCCCTCCCACGGCCCACCAACCTCAGGGCTCCAACTGCCCCCCAGCTACAATCTGTCCCCTCGCACCCCCCAACCTCAGGCCTCCAACTGTCCCCCAGCTACAATCTGTCCTCGCACCCCCCCAACCTCAGGCCTCCAACTGCCCCCCAGCTACAATCTTTCCCTCCCACCGTCCCCCCAATCTCAGGGCTCCAGCTACCCTCCTACTCCAACGCGTCTCACCGCCCCCCAACCTGAGGCCTTTTGACACCCCCCCCACACACACACCGGTGACCTTACCTCTCTGCTCTGGTCCTGGCAGGTTCAGGGTTAACAGCACCTGAATTTCTTCCTCCAGGTTGTCCAGCTTGGTCGCTGGACAGGTCGGCGGGGCCTCCGGTGATGTGGAGCCCGAAGCATCTAGGCCTTCGAACTTCTTTGCCATCCGTGGACGGTGACCGCGCGCCCCAGCCGCGGGGATCCCGAGTCCGGGGGTCCTGGGCCGCCCAGCCTGCGTCCTGGGCCGTTCCCCTGCGACTCCGCCAGGCTTCCTGCGGCGGCCCGGGGCGGGACGGGCGCTCACTCGATCCGCACCTGCAGGCGGACGTTGAGCATCACCGAGGCCACGACGTAGAAGTAGGGGAAGTTCACACGCAGCCGCCAGGCCAGGTCGAAGAAGGTGAGCAGCGTGCGCGTGAGCCCCTTGCAGAAGGCGCTGTAGGAGCCGCGGGCCGCGGCCGAGCGCCACAGCCGCAGCGCCAAGCCAGACAGGGCCGCCGCCGCCACCGCCTGCACAGCCGCCGACGTCGCCATGGGTCCGTGCCGCCCCTCGTCCCCACCCACTGACCGTCCGCCCGGCAGGAGCCCGGACCCCAGAGGGCGGCCGCTAGGGTCGCCTCCGACACCCGTGCGGGCGCCGGGAGGACCAGGCGCACCGCCCTCCCAGGGCCCCGCCTCCTCCCGGGCCCCGCCTCCTCCCGGGCCCCGCCTCCTCCCTGCGGGCCCCGCCTGCTATGGGCCCCGCCTGCTATGGGCCCCGCCTCTTCCCCAGGCCACACCTCCTCTCCGGGCTCCTCCGACTCCCTGGGCCCCGCCTCCTCCCCGGGCCCCGCCTGCCATGGGCCCCGCCTCCTCCAACCCGGGCTCCGCCCCCTCCTCCCGGGCCCCGCCTCCTCCCGGGCCCCGCCTCCTCCCCGGGCCCCGCCTGCCATGGGCCCCGCCTCCTCCAACCCGGGCCCCGCCCCCTCCTCCCGGGCCCCGCCTCTTCCCCAGGCCCCGCCTCCTCCAACCCGGGCCCCGCCTGCCATGGGCCCCGCCTCCTCCAACCCGGGCCCCGCCTGCCATGGGCCCCGCCTCCTCCAATCGGGCCCCGCCTCCTCCAACCAGGGCCCCGCCTCCTCCTCCCCGGGCTCCGCCTCTTCCACAGGCTCCTCCTCCCTGGACTAGCCACCCTCAGCACTCCGCCCACCCCACGCCCCTCTCACATTGCCCCGTCCTGTTTGTTGGGTTTGTTCCACCTGTTGGACCCTCCCTGAACACACGGCCCCGCCTGTTGGACCCTCCCTGAACACATGGCCCCGCCTGTTGGACCCTCCCTGAACACATGGCCCTGCCTGTTGGACCCTCCCTGAACAGACGGCCCCGCCTGTTGGACCCTCCCTGAACACATGGCCCCGCCCCTCTCACACAGTCCCTTCCGGTTTGTTGGGTCCGCCCATTGGGCCCTCCCTTCCACACAGCCCCGCCCCACTCACACAGCCCCGCCCACATGTCGTCCATTCTCCCCACGGAGCCTGCGCGCATGGTGCGGGGCAGGAGGCGCCGCAGGGTCCGGACCGCGATGCGGGTTCCGGGTTCTGTGCGCAAAGCTTTCTGGGCGGCCTGTCGCGATACCGCCGCGCCAGGTCCCCGCCGTCCTCTCCGAGAACAGGAAGCCCTTGAGGTGTGGGGCAGGCCACGCCCCTCTCAAGCCCCGCCCACAGGGCCTGTGTTTTCCTCAGGGAGTCTGCGGACTGAGCTGCTGTCTGGACTCTGAGGAAGCCCGCGTGTTGCAGGGCAGGCAGCACTGCAAGGCCCAAGCCCCGCCCCTCTCGCAAGTCCCGCCCACACAGCCCCGCCCACAGGGCCTGTGTTCTCTGAGCCTGCGCGCTGAGCTGCTGTCCCGGCTCTGAGGAAGCCCACGTGGTGCGGGGCAGGCAGCGCCGCCTAGTCCGGGCCCCGCCCCTCTCACACAGCCCCGCCCCACTCGCACAGTCCCGCCCATCGCCCCGCCCACAGGGCCTGTGTTCTCTGAGCCTGCGCGCTGAGCTGCTGTCCCGGCTCTGAGGAAGCCCGTGTGGTCCACGCCCCCTCACACAGCCCCGCCCCTCTCACACAGCTCCGCCCCGCTCACAAGCCCCGCCCACAGGGCCTGTGTTCTCGAAGCCTGCGTGCTGAGCTGCTGTCCAGGCTCTGAGGAAGCCCGTGTGGTGCGGGTCGGGCGGCGCCCCCTGGCCCGGACCGCGGTGCGGGTTCCGGGTTGTGCGGCAGCTTTCTGGGCGGCTCCGCGCTCACGCCGCGCCGGGTCCCCGCCGTCCTCTCCGAGAACAGGGCAGCCCAGCGCTCTGTGTTGTCCCGGTTCGCGTTTCTGCTCCGCGCGCTCGCCGCGAGCAGTGAGCAGCACCGAGCACCTCGCGCGTGCCTTTCCACTTTGTAGAGTCTTTGCTGTCCGGGTGCACGTCATTATTGGTGAATTTTCCCAGGGTCCTTTGTTCTTTGACATCTTCCCTTTGCTATTACCTCATTTTTGTTGCTGTACTTAAATGGCCATTCATGCTTTCATCTGATCTTATATATAGAAACCCAAATGAAACCTGATCAGGTTTTTGCAGACCGTTTAATGAAGCAGGCAACTGTTGTTCTTCCTTACGGTCATAACTTTGAAAACAAGTCACCAAGAAGTAAATTCACTGTGACTCCATTGCAGTGGTCACCAGGCGACTCACTCGAGTCTTCCAGTGCTTGCTTATCCTCAGAGCTGCCCAGCTCAGCGGTTTCTGTGCCTGTAAGGGAGCCAGCTAACTCAGACACGCACTGAACAATTGTCTGGCAGACATGATCAAGTTTGATCAAGTTATTTTTTTTTCTTGCCTGCCTACCTTCCCTCTCATTTCCTTTGCTTTCCATAAGATGAACAGTTGGAGAGCTACCAAGTTATTAGGTGACATCATGATTTTATCTACAGCACACCTGTGTGAGCATAAGTGTAATAAAAGTGTTGCTCGCCTCTGTTAAAGGAGTAAGAATGCAGACACTTTATGTATTTGTATGTCTATCCATACTTATGTATTACCCATAAAATGTAAAATTATTTCAAAAAAAGGTACAAAAATTGCCTTATGCTTCATAGAAAACCTTTGTTCCAGACTGCCTTAAGCAGAAGTTTCAGCAACTTCTCCTCATGTCATTCTGATAACCTCTCCTTGACCTCTTCTTATTTATTTACTTACATATTTATTTATTTTTTTAAAGCCAAGCAGTTTTTTTAAAAAAATATTTATTTTTACTGGAAAGACAGATCTGCAGAAAGAAGGAGAGATAGAGGGAAAGGTCTTCCATCCACTGCTTCACTCCCCAAGCGGCCGCGATGGCTGGAGCTGAGCCTATCCAAAGCCAGGAGCCAGGAGCTTCTTCTGGGTCTCCCACACAGGTGCAAGGTCTCCCATGCAGGTGCAGGGTCCCAAGGCTTTGGGCCGTCCTTGACTGCTTTCCCAGGCCACAGGCAGGGAGCTGGATGGGAAGTGGAACAGCTGGTGCCCACATGGGACCCCAGCACCTGCAAGGTGAGGGTTTAGCCACTGGGTCATTTATTTTTCAACATTTTATTTTTTAATAATTGTAAACTTATATGAAGTTGCAAAAACACTACATAAAACACCCTGTACCTTTCATCCTGCTTCCTGCAATCATTCCTTTTTTTTTTTTTTTTTTTTTTGCAGATATAATGTAGTAATTGGTACTGGCGCATTACTGTTAACTATACTAGAGACATACCACTGCTTTCATCATTTAAAAAAATTGCAATAATGCATTCGTGTATGTGTGTACATGGATAACTCTAGCAGTATAATATTATGTAAAGTTGTTTGTAACCATCACCACACTGAAAATACAAAAGCATTTCATTACTCAAAGGGACTCTTTTAGTCTGCACTCAGTTATCTTGTACATATCTTGTTAAATTTGTATCTATTTCATCGTCTTTGGAGTGACTGGAAATTATAGTGTGGTTAATAAATACACATTAACTGCTTGTTCTCCAGATGCTCGTTGTCCCTATGTAGAACTGAGACTGACTAAAGCTGGAAGCTTCTCCAATGAAGGGTGCCAGATTTCTTTTGTCAGAAAAATTCCTTGGGCCCCAATCCTTGAATGAGCCGAGAGAACAATTTGCAGTTTGGCGGAAGTGTTCTGTGCCGTTTGACGAAGAGACAGAGGTGTGGGCTAGATTCATAAGAAGAACTTCAGAATGCAACACAGTAGGAAAGCCACATTCTGAGTAAAGCTCGAAGTTCAAGCTCAAAGACCAAAAGTTGTGAAAGGGGATGAAACATCTGATGAAGAGAAAAATTGCTGAGTGTTTCTTACTACCTACTGAATAAAGTAGATGTAACTGAGAAAATTGATGCTGTAACTAAGCTTTAAGGAAAACTGCAGATTTACATGCAGTTGTAAGAAAAACACAAAGGTGTTTCATACATTTATTGTCCAGTTTCCCATGGCGGTAATAGTCTTTCAAAGCTGTGATACAATAGCACAACCAAGATATTGGTATGGTCACAATCCAGCTGTCCTACTCAGATTTGCCTCCTGTTATCTTGTTTTAACCAAATCAGCCTGCCCTTCTCTCTTAACGTTATGGGGTTCTCTTTATTTTAATATTTTTTAAGAATGTTATACAAGGGGAACCTGCAGTATCTTTGAGATACATAAATACAGTACTTTCTGAATTTGTTATTTTCCAACTGCAACATTCCCCAGGGAGTCACCAAAGTTTTTGGTAGAGTCAAATGTGAATACTTCATTTCTTTTTGCTGATAAGTAGTATTCCTTGGTGTAGTCGTTAAACCATTCACCTGTGAAGCACAGCAGGGACATCTTTATTTCTGGCCATGTGAATATTTGCTTGCATTTATGAACACAAAATTCCATTGCAAAGTAGATTGTGTAAGACTGCCCAACTGTTGCCTTTAGAGTACCCGCAGCATTTTTGTATTCCTGGGAGGAATTGACAAGTACAGCCAGTTTCTCTGCATTCTTGCCAGCAGTCGGTAGTATCACTCTGCTTTGCTTTGTCCACCTTGAGGTGAATTTGTGCGAGGCTCAGATTCAGGTCTAGTTTCAACTTTTGCCTGGTGGGTGTCTAGTTACTGGAACGCAAGTTGTTGGGGAAAGCTCTCCCGTCTCAATTGAGTTTCATCTTTGTCAAAAATCAATTGAATGTAATTCTGTGGGTTTCTTCATGTGTTCTCTATTTGGTTTCATTGGCCTGTATGCCTGTCCTTTCTCCATATCACACTCTTTTAATTGCTGTGGTTAGGAATATATTGTGTATGTATTTATGAATACATTTTAGCCTTTCACGTTGGTTTTTCCTTACCAGCATTTATTTAGACATCCTAGAGCTTGCATCTGCTCATATACCTTTTAGAATGAGCCTGTCCATGAGTACAGAAGACTGGGACATAGCTGGGGCTTGAGCAAGGCCCTCTGGTATGGGATATGAACATTCCAGGTGGCGTCTTAACTAGCATGCTAAATGCTGCATCAAACTTTTTTTTGTTGTTGTTGAGGATTTATTTATTTTTATTGGAATGTGAGATCTGAT